TTATAAGAAATTCCTTACTGATTTAATACTGCAGCTTCTTCTTCTGTAGAATATTAATGGATACTGGTAGAGTCGTATGTAAATTATAAACAAATTTTAGGACATTAGCGAACTTATAATTTGTATATATAATAATTACAAATTTGGAAGATTTTTAGAAATTATTTCCAAAATAAAATTAAAGGAAAATAATAAAATTATTTGTGAAAATGAACTTGCGATACAGTTAATTCATTTTGTATCTCACTGAAAGTACTTTGTGGCACGACGCCCAGATGGTATAATGGTTAGGAGGTTAGGAGAGCCTACTGCGGTACCGAAGGGCCCGGGCTCGAGTCCAGGCGAAGGCATAGCTGTTTGTAAATGTATAGTGTCTGTGCGGCATGCAGGTACTCTAAATATGTGGTGAGTCGAAAATTCTCTCAAGAGATTTGTGGTAAGGGAAGGTGAGTGGGAAACCCTCGGACCCGTCCCCCGAGGTGTTCTCCATCAAAATTGGGAAAGGAACTGGCGAATTCGTACTATCACCTGCATCTGTATAGTGCTCAAGGCTCTTGCTAGGGACAGGCGCAATCTTGCACTCTCTGCCACGATGAATTTCGTGAGCTTGTTCTGATGTTACTGTCAGACAAGTGAGATAAGTCACAACAACTGTGTAGCATTGACTTTATTCACTGTAAAATAGTTCTACAAACAGTTCGAGGCTGTTATTAACCACTTGCGCTACGACTAAACTTCACGGTTGAGGTGCCGTGCGCTACAATATAACAAGCGGTAAAGTGTCTCATTTCGCCGCTCCCGTCTGCGAGTGCAATCCAGAGCGGTAACTCGAGAAATAAACAATCTCGTTGTTAGGCGACGTGTGCACCACGTTATTTTCATTTCTGCGATAAATGCCTGTCGACGTGGTGTTCACGTCGCTCGCGGTTTGAGACAAAAGCATCTCGACGTGCGTGGCACGTCTTTTTAGCGCAAGTGGTTAAGTGTTGTATAATTGCTTACATAAACTACGCAATCGGGGAAATGTAGAAAGGAAACAGGTGCAAGCAACTAACGTTTGATGTAAGTTGCAGAAAAGCTGAATGAAATGTAGAATTTCCTAAAACAAAAGAGTCAAAAAGATTTTAAGAATGAAATTTCATATTTTACATATGATATGCATGTGTTTGTTACATTAAAATTATGAAACATTTATGAGTAAAAATATGTATTCTGCTCGACGTTTTCTTGTTAAATAATACGCAACTTTTACATTTGAGGAAATTAACAGATCTCACAGTATTAATATCCCAGATGGTCACAGATTTCTTATCCCTGATGGCGGAAAATTTGGGTCGCAAAATGTCAAATTGTGTTATTACTGAAGCAAAGTGAAGAACCCAGATTAAATCAGATTTCCTTTCACGAGAGATTTCCATGTCTCTGAAGTGATGACCATTAAAATTCATGCTTGGAGATGATACAATTATTTTATAATGCACAGCGATTGACACAGGTTACGGACTTAATGTTATCATGTAGAGTGCTGCTTTCTACGACAGCCGGTCGCTTTGATTGTCACAACTCGACAACACAAGTATTCATTGATAAAATCCTTTAATAAGTATTTAATGTTTGGATCTTGCGAATTTTTAAGCAGCACAATGTCGGGCGAAACACTGCTACCATCTTTGGAAAAAGCTTACAAAGTTTAAACGCTCTTCTCTTGACACCTAAGTAGTTATATTCCTCCTCCCCCCCCAAATGTGACACTGGTACTTTGATCCAGGTTTAAATTACTGTGTATGGGATCAATTCGTGAGCGTTTTACTGGATTTTCTCATGTATAACATTAATACAAGCCAGCTCTCCTTAGAAAGCCCTTTACAAACATGTCTCTCATTTTAGGAAGACAGTCGTCTCGTACTTTGCCGTATTCTGTTAAACAACAGATTCCTCATCAGTGCAGGATGTATAGAACAGTCATTACCTTGCTCCTTGATGCTGATAGCATCAAATATGGTTTTGAAATTAGGTTCTTTCTTTTAGAAGCGTTTAAGTAATAGACAGAATGCATAATCTTTGAGCGTCCTCCTCCCAAAATTGTTAGGAATATGACATATTTTAAAATATTAAATCTTTTACCCCATTTTCGAGAAGGCTGCATACGCAAACGTTTCCATGTAAATATCTTCCACGAAGATATCTCTTACCCTGGCAGATAATTGGGTGCGTTGCCATAATCCAAATAAAAAAATTCCTATTGACTTCTTCTCGTGAACTAAAATGGGAAATAACTGATAAGAATTCATTAATTGACACAGGATCATTTTCATGAATGTGGATTGCTTTCAAGAAGTTTTGATGTAATGAAATTTTCTCCCTTTTAGATCCGAGATGAAAGAAATTACAAAAATTAAATTAAAGGAAATTTTTAAAAAGTAAAATATAGGAGATAAATGATTACAATATTGATTAATTAAATCTTCTTTCATATTTTCCTTTTTATAATGTTTCTTAGACTTTAAGGGTGAACTTTGAGGTTTGAACATAGTAATGTAACTGTGGCAAGATAAATTAACGTCTCGTATTCTTAAATATTTTTTCTCATTTGTAACAAATAGTAACAAATCTAACTGAAACACCAATGATCTTCTCATATACTGCTAGTTTTATGAAACGTTTCAATGGCCGAGTAAGTAAGATTGACTGAAAATTGGTAGTTTGACATGGCCTAAAATTCCAACAAATGATCTGACTTCATGGGAGGTTTCGCGATTTTCTCCACGTGTAACGTGAATACAACCAGTTTCAATTAGAAAACTCTCCATGAAGACATTCTTCAGGCAGATAGTTTGGGCTTTACCATAATTATAATTTATCTTAACCAAACATTATACCTACTATGGTTAATTGAATTATTTCCCTACTGCATACGGAATCTCGAGCTTGTCCAAACCATTTAACTTAGCCCCAATAACTTCTGCGTTGACAGTATTAAATGCTGTTTATCTTTTTTTTTTTTAAAATAGTGGTATTTTTTTTGTCCTTTTTCAACTACATAGCATTTTCATTGTAAGCACATTTTGAAAGTTACCTCTTATTCTCCGCAATAGTTCGAAATTTTGTGGTCTATATTTGCATAGTAGGTTTTGGCCTATTTATTATATTGTGTAGTAGGTTTTGGCCTAAAATTATTGTGGCCTATTTTTGTATAGTTGCTTTTCTTTTTACACTTTGTCCTAGCAACAGCTGATAAAAATATTACTTCCTGAGTTTTTTACTTTTTAGTTCTTTCCTTTATTTTTAACTTAAATAAAAATATACAAGGGACCCGAAAACTAATTGACGGGAGTTTCATGTTAATATACGAGATAATAAAGATTACAGAATGTGCTCTGAAATATTTTTATCGCAATTATTAGTTTACAAGTATTTTAGAAAGCATTACAATGTTTCTGCATGCTTCAGCATGGCACATAACAAAGTGTTATTCACTCTTGATTCATATTCAAGCAAAAATACTCGGACATCAATGCTTCTATTGTAGCCGCATGATCCTTTTCTTCCCAGTGAATGCAAAGACTAGCCAGTTTTCCTTAGAAAGTCCTCCACGAAGCACCTCACCCTACAGACAGATAGCCTTCGCGTATTTTTCCATATTCGAATAACCTAACTTCAAAAATGAAATTATATGAGGTGTCTTAGCTTCCTGTGAGGCTTATTCCCTGAGGCCAGGAGGTAAAACTAAAACTAAATAGCACTGGTAGTTCGTTCCCGGTGAATGAGCTGGATGTAGAAGAGTTTTTATTGTTTTTCCTCTATATAACATGAATTTGAGCCCATTTCATTTAACCCTTTGAATGCGATATCCGTGAATAACGCATTCACCTTTTATACTGAATATAGGCGGGGAACGTTCTTATTCCGTCGGTAGAAACTGGGATTTCACCTGCACGAACCTTTTGTTTCGCAGGAAGAAAAGCTATGAATTTTTTATATTCTTTTATGAATTTTATATACGAGGTCAGAGGGTTTAAGTTCTTTCACGAAGGCAACCCTTCTCTTAAGCAGATAGCCCTCGTATGCTTTGCCGCGGACAATCGACATCCGAGCTTCGTGAAGGTCTATAGAAAAAGTATTCTTTTTTTCCAATTCAGCATTTTGGAAGAAGTCTGGCACATTTTACACAAACGTTTAACGGTACTTTGGTACTGCTACAGCTTGAAAGCCTACGAAGAGGGAAAGATGGGTGTTGTACTTTCCCCTGCTCAATTAAAATATTCTAACTTTTGGAATCCGGCAGAAGAATATAAAATATTGATCGTAGGTTAGCCGTGCAACTTGGCGATTGCATTTACTTGTTTACATTAATCATCATGTGAGTAAGACAAAAATTTGGAATATTTAATTGAGAAGTTTCTTCTTTCCTTGTTCACTTTGCGAAAGCCGATATGATTGGATTGTTCCATAGCCTTGATTTTAAGAAATAAAATAAGACTTAACATGAAACACTTAATAAAAACACACAACACAAATAATAAAAACACAAAATCCCGACATTAGTTTTTCGAAGATCTTGACTTTAGCAACGTTTTATTTTAAGATGTATACACAAAAGAAATTTGCTTTTGTTCAATGTTGGATTATTCATTTACATAATTTAATAATTATTCTCAAGAACAAAAATATGAATTCAAAATATCTTAATATCGTAATTAACTTGTTTTCTTAATATTATTCAGTTCTTTTAACGTTTAGGAGGTGTAAAGTATTTGAAGCAAGTTTAGGATAATTTTTAAGACAAAAATCTGTATTTTGGTTAATCTTCATTCGAAACTAAAATATTCTCTAAGCCGAATAAATTTCCCTTATCAAAGTCATTGGCTGCGGCTTATTATTTACGATTATTTATATGAAATTTCCTCCTTTTAACCGTTTTGTTATCTTTCTTTTATTACTGTTTCAGTTGTATTTTGGATGTAAATGTACTTTTTTAATAATATGATGTCATTTTTCAGACAGGTGACATTCGCACATCTTATGGCGACTACGTCATCCATCCATCTTCGATACGCACAGATGATTCAATCATGCCACATCATCTATCCATCCTAGAGTATCCCGATTCTGAACGTCCGTGGAGGCCTCTACATGCTAAAGGCATCCAATTCTGTGATTTAGAAGGTATGAAAACTTATTGTTGATAGTAATTACCTTAAGTGTATTTATCACAACTTAAATGGAATATGCTTCTATTATTTGAATGCATATGAATTAATAAGAAATCAATCACATAATCCTTAGCACCAATTCCTTTTAAGATATGATTTTTGATAAATTCCGAGACATTTTTTCCCACCATTTTTAACAACACTATAAAAATGAAGTCTTTCTGAAATAGTTTTAGTCCCTGAATTGCATTTAAATGGAGTAACACAAGTGTACGGGACACCAGAATTTCATCATTGGTTGTACAGACACTAACTGCGTAGTTCCGCCCAATTTTGAAGATCACCCTGGGAGACGCTCCGAGGATCGCCCAGCTCTCTCCCCTACCACTCCTACAACAGGACTTTCGGCTTGCCAGTATTTTGAGTGCTCTCATGATGCACAACACATACACTTGCAAACTTCCATGTCTTCTCCGGAATTCGAACTCGGGCTCATCTTACGGCAATCAGCGTCGCTAATCATTACATAGATATACGAGAATGCTGCATAAAAGAGTTGACACGGCACGCTTTTGCAGATCAGTCTGTGCTCACCAAGACAGAAATCTTCTCAAATTTACTCCAACTTGAAGATACCGGCATCTTAATGAACTTAAGATTTTTAACTCCAAAATGCAAACTGCATAAAGAAAGCTTTAGGCAATTAGGATTTTCATCAGAATTATTAATCAAAATAGTAAGCACTACTTGCCTAAGCATTACTTGCGTAAGGGTACTGGCAACTTCCTGATGGTTTCGTTTTTCTGGACAAACATTTCTTGATAAAATGCTGTCCTGATGAACATTTCCTGATAAGTCTTGATAAAGGCCATGCCACCTATGTGCCAGAGCATTTTTGTGAAGACTTCTAAGTTTCCAAACAGTGGTCGACATGCTCGAGGATGCTGCACCCATATGAAGGCGTCCCTAATATAATGTGTAAGATCATTAGCCAGGCCGATTAGCAGATTTAAAACCGACTAGCAGATTTAAGGACACTGGCAATTTCTTTCCAAATTAAATTTCGGTTGCGAGTTGAGTGGCTTGACTAAGGTTTGGTTTATTTAATTAATGGCAAAGCACTCGAGGTTTATCTGCCTAAGGGAAGGGATCCTTTGTGGAAGACTTTCTAAGGGAATTTGACTCGTATACCTGTTACACATTGGAAAAAGCCACAAAAACGCGCATGCTGCCGGCCCGTTCGCCAAGATTCGCCCCCGAACTGAAACTTCCAGTGTTCAACGAGTTTACCGCTCCGCCGCTGGTGGGCCTGCTTGATGAAGACAGTTCAATAGTAAACAAATAAAGTTCAAGGCAATAATTAGCATAAATTTATTGCTGAGTGCAGTTTTGCTGGAGGTGAATCAATTCAATTTTAATAAAGCGTTGCTGTTACGGTGCTAGGAGGGGGCACATGAATGCAATAAAAATTGTAATGCCTTTAAGTGGAAGTTGTAACACAGTTTACGACCGTTTTGAAACACGTTCAGTTTGGTATACGCCCTGTTTGCACACGAAAATTTGTTTGGAATACTACTCGAATTCCAGGAGTCAGGCAAGCTCGCGCTACCTCTTTCGAGATAATGCTACGAGTGCCCATGAATGTCAATATGCCTGTTGCTACTATTCAGTTAATTGCGCTGTAACTATGGAGTTTCAAAAGATTTTGCGTTTTTTTAGCATAGTTTTGTAAATCGGTACTTACGTACTATCTCGTCGACCATGAAAACTGTCGGAGTGCGATTTGCGACAATTATGGATAAACGTTACGCAAGAACACACTCGTTATATCTGTGCTTTCGTCTGATCTAAGCTAGGTTGATTCTCGATCTTTTTAGTTTTATGAACGAGGATATAAATTAACTGTTCTTCCTGTATTTCTTCCTTGCATTTTGTAAGAAAAACGATTAAAATTTTGGGCCTGTCTTGTACAGAACGGAAAACAGTAGTCTGTTTCCAAAGTTATGAGATCCTATTAAAACAAATCTGTGTATTTATGGATACGATATTGTCAGTTGAATATGTCAAACAAAACAATAACAGATTGGAAATATTACCAGCGAAGTTTGTGCTCAACACATTCTAAACAGAACTTCCAGTAAAATGGGAGAACCTAATAAAATAGCAGAAATCGACAAAAGCATTTTTACGAAAACCAAACACGAAGCGGTTCGAATACTGATTAATCATTAAATAAAGAGACTCCAAGTGCTTTTGAATTTAACATGAACGATTGACGCAACTTTGACAGGATCGGCGTTTGCAAGATCCTGTTGTAACCAACTTTCACTCTCAACTGTTGGCGGAAATTTCGGCAATGGTCACCAATCGCCAATCATTACTGCGGAATTCTAAAGGAGTAAGTCATCCAAATATCGCTACTTGGCCGGTCGACGGGATAATACATAAGTACCGTTAAATTCACTAACAGCGAGTTTGTTGTTGTTGTTGTTGTTGTGACTTATCTCACTTGTCAGACAGTAACATCAGAACAAGCCCACGAAATTCATCTTGCCAAGAAGTGCAAGATTGCGCTGTCGTTGGCAAGAGCCTTTGAGCACCATACAGGTTACAGTACGACTTTTCTCAGTTTCGTCCCAAATTTTGAAGGAGAGTACCCCGGGGGAGCGGGAACTAGAGTCTCCTACCCCTCTTTCCCTACCAACAACCTCCTGAGAGGACTTTCAGTTCACCGCATATTTAGAGTGCCTCCATGCCGCATAGACACTATACATTTACAACATCTATCCCTTCTCCGGGATTCGAGCCGGGTCCTTCGGTACGGTAGTCAGTATCACTATTCCGGTTAGAGGCACAGTGAGTTTTAGGAAAGGTAATGAAAAGAGTTCAGCAGCAAAGAAAATTGTTAGTATCACCACGATGGTGAAAAAAAAAATTGTTGAAAAGTTGAAGATAGCATGCGTATCCATAGTTTGGCTGTTGCGTACTGTATGCCGAATACGTGGATGTCCAAGGTTGTGAAAAACAAAGATACTATTAAATAGGCTAACTTTGCAAAGGGGGTACCAAACAAAGATCAAGGACGTTAGAGCATGTTGAAAAACTACTTTTGATCTGGATAGCAGAGAAACATTTATGTACAGTATCATGTGCAGTGCTTAATTTATGTACAGCACATATTCCATCCATTGCATTTGTAATTTAGTATTAAACAGTAATAATAACAATAGGATTTTTTATAAGAACGGATTAATTATTTTCCATCAAAAAAGTTCGTCCATTTTGGTATACATCCAAGAATCTGGAACGGATAATGTCATATACCGTATCAGGTACCAATTGTACTTGGTCGAACGAAGAGATAAGAAGTTCGGGTCAGGTTTTTTTCAAACCTCAAATAGGAACGGAGTGAAAGTTGCGTCATTCACGAGATGACTATGCATGGAAATTTCCAAAGCTTCTAAAAAATCCAGACTGAAGGCGAATTAGTGGAACAATACTTTTGAACTCCGAAATTTGATTTTTTTCCCTCAGTAACGGATAACCATTGAAGACTTTGAGCCGGTTTCTCAGGTCGCTGAGATGGTCATTGTGGAGTTTGGGGGAAAAGCCTTAAAGTGATGCCTATAGTGTATGACGAGTATGACTAATACAAAAGGAACACTCCTTAATAATGCTAAAATTATATAAGGTAATAACAAATATACTCTACCATCTGGAATAACTTATTTACTATTAATAAATTTGTAATATATAGAAGAAACTAAACAATATAATATTCGTTTTAAAAATGCTGCATGATCACACAATAAAACTGCTAATTAAAATATCTCCGGGAAACTTTTCACCAGTTAATTATATGCATAATTAATGTACTTGATTTCTATATGCAGTTTTATCTTTGAATTTTTAAATTTTCTTTTACTCATACTTCATTTCCCTTTAAAGTGACTTAATGCTTCCTATGCAATATTCGCAAACGTAATCTGCGGATACAACTGGTAATGGAAATGCTATCAAGTAGCTTAAAGAAGCGTTAATGCCAAACAAAACAGACCAGCTGTGTTTCAAGTTATTTTTAAAGTTCCCTGGCCTTGGTAGCATGTGTAGTATCCATCTCCCAGGCAACTGCAACTTGTGCACACGGCCCACATTCCTTCCAAAATTCAAATTCTTGCTCCGATTCTCGAAATTTTTTATATTGATAGGACATTTTATTAAATCATTAAAAAATAATAACAAATCCCTCCATTTGAAAGCAAAACAATTTTAGCTATCTCTTTAAAAACCGTTATTGGAATCTGATGTTTATACGTCTGAAAACGTTAATGACTTTCATTGAAAGAAGATTTCTACAAATAACTGCTCAACAATTACGGGTTCGGTTAGTTTATAATGTAGGGGGTTTACTGTTTAATCACCCTGAAATTGCCGATAAATTTAAGCAGAAATTTGAACTCAGAATATATATGCAGCTCGCAGGATACGAATTCAATAAAATTTGAAATTGTTATAAACGAAGTTACATAAGTTGACGTTGCATAAAATGACAAATGAATTCGTACGTCTGTTAAGAGTTCTGCGAACTGTATACACAATGCGCTTACAAAATTTAAAATTGAATTTTCCCCTAATTCCATCAAGGATATCAGAGAAAATAAGTGGCAATGAATACTGAAACATTTTAACTTATTTTCTTTAAAGTAAGTTATTTAAGTAGAATTAAGTATTTTAAGTAGAATTCATTTTGGTTTTTGTAACCGTTACTTGCTGTGTGGCTTCAAAAACTGAATGAGAGGAAATAGTCGCCTCTCCCCACATGCATTGCAGTGTATCGTTAAACAGTTTATTTTCAAAGAAAAGTTTAACTGTTTTTGTTCATTTTCCTTACTGCTTCAACTGCCAGATTTGACGCCTTCGGATTCCCCTAATGTAAAAATTTACCTTTATTTATTTTTTATTTTTTTAACATTTTAAAAGTATTTCAGAAATTCAAGAAGAATACCCAAAGAAGAAATTAAATAATATTTCAA